CAAAAGCTGCATGTCAGCACGCATCCTCAGATACCCCTGCATGCTCATGTACATAGCAACAATCACGCCCCCTGCAAGATGACGGGTGTCCCTACACCAGATAGCTTGCGCGTGCTGCTGCCGAAACTGACATGATATGACAAGAAAGAGATACGACGCGAAGAGAGAAGAGATGCCTCTGAAGGCGCTTCCTCGGAGGGCTGAGGCAGGCTCTCTGAGGCACCTTCAATAGGGTTCCTGGGTGACCCGACCCTTGTCTTTGCCTTTGTCAGCCCCTGGGGGCCCCGTCCCTGGGGTGACCTGGCCTGGCTGGTCGATCCACCCGCTGACAACCACGGGATCGGCAACTGATGCAGCTTCCTCCTTCTTAGTTTCGAGAGTGGCCACCTGTGGCAGGTGGATGGTGCCCCCCGTGAGGTGCCCGAGGAGGGCCTGGATGTCGCCACGCAGTGCAGCGGCTTCGGCGGTTGCCGTCTGTTGCTGGGTGACGACGATGACAAGCCCCCGTTCCAAACCTGTGACGTGCTCCGTGAGTGTGGCCTGGGAGGAGAGAACGCCCGCAAGCTGAACCTGCATGTTACCCACCGTGTTGGCAAGCAGCTCGTGCTGTTGTTCCATGTGTTGGATGCGGGTCGTGGCGGCATCTGGCAGTTTAGGGGCCGATGCGAAGCGTTCGCCGAAGGTGTTGAGTTCGTGGAAGCCACGCTGTATTCATCACCTGATGAGAGGATCTCGACGTCGTCAGCGTCGCCTGGTACTTCGGCGGCTGTGGCAGCGTCCCCTTCGGTGTGGCCCCCACCTTCAGCCGCCACCGTGCCAAGCTGCGGGCCATGACCACCTGATCCTTGGACGGCCGTCTGCTCGGCAGCTCCGTCCGTGCCGTGCGGGGGTGCAGAGGAGCTGCGGCCTGGGGCGCCGTGTGATCTTGCGTGCGGTGTGGCGTCGCGTTTCCCACTGGAGGATCGGTAGCGCTTGGCTAAAGGCTCCTCTTTGGGGATCAGGAGCGGTGCGACGCCCTTGCCTTTGGGCGTGGCAGTCATGAGGTCGTGGAGGTAAGGGCTCTGGGCCGCTTTGGTGAGGAGTGTGCCAGTGGCGTGGCTGAAGCCGCCACCACGGGCTGGCGGCGTCACAGGCTCTGTGATAGTGGTAGGCGTGACGATGGTAACGTTGTCCCTCTTCGGCACCACCTCAGCCAGCGGGACCTCGGTGATGCTCCACGGGATGGGGCACCCTGCGACCTGTACCGTATATGTGAGTGGGGGACGATGGGCGCGCACTAAGGCAAACTGAGCCGAAGTGGCTGGGCCCCAGGCGGTGTGGTAGACCTCACAGTCCCATTTAACGGACGGGCCCGTGAGAGTCTTGGCGAGCTGGGTCAGCGTGGCGTGGCGTGCCGCAATGCCAGTGATGCGGTAGCGCGTCTTGGCGAGGGTGGCTTCGCAGCCGCGGGTGCTGACGGCAGCAGCCTTGGCGGCGTCTGACCCTCGTGAAACACGGATACCCAATAAGCCTGACTTGCCGTGCCTGACGACTCCCAGGGCCTTGAAATCCACCGACTTCTGGAACGCATCTGCCTTCGTGATGGGCTGGTCCTCAGGGAACCACACGGTCTGGTACTTGTCTGCAGTGGGCTCGTCTGCACCTACGTTGCTGAGGTCGTAGGTGGCGCCGAGTTGCCATGAACCCGCCAAGACCTTGTCGACCGCTTGAAGACTGACGCCGAAGGTGGCAGCCAGGGACCTCTTTCCGACGCCCGATCCAAACCTGCCTAGGCTTTTGCAGGGTTCGAGGATGGTGACGGCTTTAAAGTTGCCGTGGAAGAGGGCCTTGAAGGTGTCCTGGAGCTGACTATCGAGCTCCTGGCGGCGAGCGTCTTTCTTTGACTCCCTGTGCTTTTGGTTTTGGCGCGCCTTGTCCTGTGGAGCGGAGTCCCCTCGGAAAGGACCCTTGGCGCGTGGACCACCGTTCACGGGGGCACCTCCCGAGAACTGGTCCTCGAAGGCCTGATGCATGGAGGGGACTGCGGCGATGGCCTCGGGTTCATGTATGGTCGCCCGAATCCAGCATACGTGGTCGGCAGGGTCGATGGTGGCGACGGCTACTTTTTCCGTGCAGGCGACCTCCTTGGTGCCCAGCTGGTACACGGTCACGGGGACGTGCGTGTGGACCACTTTGGGCGCCTTGGGGTGGCGCTTCAGCACGGGGACGGCGAGCTCGGTACCGACGTAGTTATCGTTTTTTGGGCCCATGACAGCAATCGCAAGCTGACCCGTGGTACGCTTACCCTGCTCAAGGTGGTGTTGCAGCAGCCGTTCACCGCTCTCGTAGTCGTGGAGGCTGATACTGGGCTTGTACGTCTTGCCGTCGTCAAGTGATGTGGGTTCAGCGAGGACTGGGACCTTCCAAAAGGCCGGGTCCAAGGCAATGAATTGGGTGTCCGCAGCCTGAAGACGTGCGGACCCAGCTGGTGGGTGTGATGTGTCACCGCCACTGCGCTTAG